TAATAATTATAAAAAATTCCTGAAATAGGTACTCTCTCATTTTGAATTATCTTTCAAGTCCAGTGCTCAAATTAATTTTATCTGTTGTAGTTTTTGTTGTACAGTAAATCAATTTTAGTTCACTAATAATTAGTCTAGAAATGTCCTGTCTTCGGGAGAATATTTAGAATCATGTGCTTTAAATTCTCTTTAAATAGATTAATTTTATCATGGTTAGTTTAGAAATTATTGAGGTTTCTACTGATCAATATTGTTACTGTGCATTTTCTATGGCTAAATCTAATGTATTTTCAATGGAAAAACGTCTTTTTTTTGTAAACTCAAATGGTGCAGTTACCATGGTAGATTTCTATATAAAATAAAATATTTTACAAACCGAGAAGTTGGGGCTATAAAACTGTGAAGAGAGGATTGAGATTGGATTATCCGTTTTGGAGCAATAAATTTCTAACGCATAAAGTTAACTAAATCCACGAGTTATGTTTGTTATTTTAAATATAGAATAAATATAAAATAATTACAATATCGAAACCTTTACCATTATACGCAAGCTATAATGGCTAAAGTATATAAAGGGTACTATTATTTTATTACACTCCTAATGTGCATTGCGACAACCATAGCCAAGGTGAGTGTTAATAAATTTTATACGTACGGCATTGAGCATGGTGACATCGACCAACAACCAGATTATAAACACGCCGGAAGTAGTAACGAGATTGTGCTCACCACTGGATTCCGTTATTTTAACACCACGCACAATTCATTATGGGTGAATGTGAACGGGGCCATTTCATTTAAGAAATTCACGTCCACCTACACACCTAATTGTAACGCCCTAAGTGATATTAGTATGATTGCACCATATTGGGCTGACACTGATTTAAAGTACGGTGGTCATGTATTTTACCGCGAGACTACCGAAATAAGCGTGCTTAAAAAGGCAACCCATGATATTAATAGGGCGTTGCAACAATTTAATGACGTCGATGTGACGTGGGCGTTTGTCACCACGTGGGTTAACGTCAGCTTCTATAGGGCTAATGAATGCGCAGTACAACCGCGAAACACGTTTCAAAGTGTGCTGGCTAGCAACGGTACACATTCGTTTGCCATATTCAATTACAATGATATCACGTGGACTACGGGATTAGCGTCGGGGGTCACTGCCCGGGAGTTAGTGGGACTCCCGCTAAAGTTGGTTTCGAATCCGGTGATCACACTATTGAATATACTATACCCGGTTCGTGTACCGACGATATAATAACAATAAATAATCGCTCAAATAATAACAATAATATCAATAAACGGGGTAACTGGATCTTCCCCGTGGATAACACAAACATTGTGTGCGATGATAATTTTAAAAGCACACTAGGTGTCAAACCTTATTTTATAGATATCTACGGCCATGAACATGTTAAATTATCAGGGCCGTGTTTCAACGCGAGTGATGATATTCTTTGCTATTTTAGAGATGAAAAATGGAAATTTTCTGTTACGGTAAATGGCATAGTGGAAGGGCTACCTAATGATCCCCATGTTAAGTGCATGGCCCCTTACTTATATAAGGGCGGCAGATTGATAATAGAATTAAAAGTCACGGATTATCATGGATACGACAAATATTATTACGGACATGTATATGTGGTTGAATCACTGGATTATTATAATGGAGTGGACGTGTATTTAACAAACTTGTCGAGTACAGTAGTTAACATGCAATTCACATGAAACCCAAAACATTTCGACCAAAATAGCACCCTGAGCATCTATATGAATACATTAGACGATTCGAAAATGCAACTTCATGAATCTCGAAAGTGGAAACATGTTAAAACATTGATAGAAAATATCTCCAATAATGGAATGTATGCGAATAATTTTAGCAAACTAGATTTTGTAGAAGAAATTGCAAACTCAGCATGCATGGTTTCCTTAGAACAGAAAGGTTATAATTTGGTGAAACGTTTTAAACGTGATGGTTTGATTAAACCGGGCAAAGCACTTTTTTCTGGGCTCGTGAATATTCCTGAGTTTTTTAGCCATACTTTTGGCGAAACTTGCATGGAGTGGTACAACAATGACCATGGTGGCCCCACTGACCTATTACCGTGTCCACCATTAGCGTCACAATCTATGGTAGACCCACGGTTCGAAATTGATCCATTAGCGCGGTATGAGTTCAATTTTGGAGCCGATTTTTGCGTTCGATCACGACTGCCTAGTCCAAGTGGAGGTGGACAACAATATTGTTATCGTGGTGAAAATATTTTAATCGGTCCGTGGGGTGGCGGCACTGTAGATAAGTCATTATACTAAAGCGATCGATCACTTTAGCGACGACATTTTACTATGGATTAAATGTTGCAAGGGTAAACCCGTGAAACTGTGTTATCGTTATTACGAAAAACGTCCGTCCGACCCTGGTACAAATTACGAGCCCCCGCAACCGACGTTCGCCAGTGGCGACCCGCATATTACTACGTTCGACGGTGTGAATTATACTTTTAATGGAGCAGGTGAATTTTAGTTAATCCGTTATGGACTCTTTATGCCAATGTCGGTTCAAGCTCGTATATGTGGATAATGATGGGGTCGCCAGAAATGCTATCATATTTACGGCATTCGTGCTGAAAGGTCACGATTCGCCATTAATACAGGTTTTACAAACTCACCATTTTCAATTTTATTCATTAGTTGCACTGTTATAGGTACAAAAATCGCTAACGCGCACAGTTGATATTTTCGTGGACAACGTGATTATGGATTTAAATGTACCAGATATATATGTTACAGAATTTAATGGCGTACAAGTAGCTGTTTCATATGATAGGAGCACGGTTAATGTATCATATGCGAGTGGTTTTAATTTTGTAATTTCGACGAATGACCAGGGATTTTCAATATTAAGTACATGTGATAAGAAATACATAAACAAAACTTGGGGACTTTTAGGTGTTTACGACGGCAACAAAGAAAATGACTTGCAGGATCAGCAAGGTAACATTATAAGCATACATTCCTCGTTACAAACCATTCACTATGAATTTGGACTAAAGTGGCGAGTGTTACCATCGGAAAGTTTGTTCATGTATACTGGTAAGTTTATTTATTAACCAAAAGTTAATATTTATAAATGGCGTTTATTTATGTTGCAAACATGCTACTCAGATTTAATAGTATATTTCAATGAATTTAAACTTTAGAAAATATTTTAAAATATGCGCATGGTATTATTTTGGACACTCGAAATAGTTATAATTTGTAAAATTATATATAATCATAATATATCAAATAATTAATCTTGTTAATTAGGCAAAACATACGACGACTACAACATCGAAAATTTCGTGCCAAACCTAATCCCGCCAGATATATCTAAAGCGTCTAAGCAAGCTCAATTGCTTTGTGGCGAATCCTTGGAATGTTTGTACGATTTCATAACCACGGGAAGTATTAGAGTTGCCAACCATACCAAATGCATAATTGAGGAATTTAACAAGATTGTTAAAGTTTTCGGTACAACCCATACAACGTGTCCACCATTACGTTACCCATTGAATGGCTACTATCAAGTTGATAATTTTTTTCCCGGTGGCGTTGCTAAATTTTATTGTTGTGAAAATTATACACTAAAGGGACCTATGACAATTAAGTGTCAAGATGATGATATATGGAATGATATTGAGCCTAAATGTTTGCCAAACCATCATGATACTGGCCATGGTAATCTGTATATCTATGTTGGAGTCACGGTCTTAATAATAATTGTAATTGCAATTATTATATACATACGCTATTTCACTAGTAGTGCACGTCGTAAAAGGTTATATAATCCGGTTTCTTAAGTTAAGAAACTATTGTTTTAACATTGAACCTCCATTTGTATTATTCAATTAAAATGGAGAAATTTGATTTTATTAATTTGATTACTATTTTCTGGATAAATCAAGAGTAATTATATAATTGTATTTAAACTGATTTTAAATATTACAAATAATTAATATGTTTGATATAATCGTTTTAGTATCTAAACCAGTATATATTAAAATTATGTATTTTGTCGTAAATTATTTGCAATTAAAATAATCTAAATACATTGGCATTAAAATTTAATTTTAGATATATTTGTTTTATTTCAACCACAAATAAATGTGTCGATGTTACAAACTAATTTAATAAACTACAGTTCAAACTGATTTATGTTATATTTTATTTTATTTAATAAAAATCAAACATTTATTTCTTGACGAGTGTCGACAACTCGTTGAAAAGTGCGTCCAATTTGTTGATCTCATCGCCGAGTCGTTGGTTCGACGTTCTGGAGGCCATTACCGGCTTCTGTAGCCAACTCTTGGGTCTTGTTTTTCAACGGCTAATGTTAACTTTATGGGAGCTTTAAGTGATTTATAAATATATAATTTAGCTATACTTACAAGTTTAATTTAGTTTCAAATATTAATTTTTATTAAATATCTTAACATCTATTGAATAATTTTTAAAATTCAATGAAAAATCATGTTATTAATCGTAAATTACTTATAATTCAATAAGTCCAAGTTTTATTGAAATGACCTTTTGATTAATTATGTTCAGTACCTTGATAATATGTTTTGCTTTTAATACTAAAAAATGTTCAAATATTTTTAGGTAGCATGGAATAAAATCATTTTTAAATTATTAATTAATTGTTTAGGATAAATTAGTTTGCAAATGTAAGTTTCCGAGTTTGCAAATTTATATTGTAAGTTAATGTATCTTTTCACCTATTACTGTAAAATTTACATCAAAAAATTAATTAATTCATGGATAATACAGTCAAATGTTTATTTCATATTTTATTATTTATTGTAATTAATATAATTATAGTAAGCTTAATATAGTAAAGCAATTTATAGAATTTAAATAATTACAGATTCTACGATATAATAATCAAAAAATTATATTATATTAAATAACTATTAATGCAGCATAAAATATAAATTCTAATAATTAAGCAAATCGATTGCTTAATCAAAGCTATGACAATTTTTTTCTACAAGCGTAAATAATAATTGAACTAGCAAAAATTGGAACACCAATTCCATAAGTTAGATACTAAAATAACTAATTATCATTGTTGTGACTACATATAGTAGTGTCGTGGTGACGTAATGTCGTGTTGTAGTGGTCGACGTGGTAGTCGTTGTATGTCGTGGTGTAGTGTTAGTAGTGGTATGTCGTGGTGTAGTGTTAGTAGTGGTATGTCGTGGTGTAGTGTTAGTAGTGGTATGTCGTGGTGTAGTGTTAATAGTGGTATCTCGTGGTGTAGTGGCTGTTATGTCGTCATTATTTTTATCCGACTCGTAAATCCTGATAATTTCGTCTAATTTATTTCTGACAGATTTTGTAAGGTTGGCAACGCTGATACTTCCGGTTGACATAAAATCATATAGGCATTCAACAGAATCGCCGCATAATAATTGAGCTTGTTCAGGTGCATTTGCGATATTCGGTACAATAAAGCTTGGCTCAAAATCTTCAATATTGTAATCTTCATATTGTTTTACTAGTATTGATAATAAAAACACAGTAATTTAATGTTGTATATTTATTGATGATTTAGTGATATAGAATGTCAGAACATATTTTTAAATCTATACGAACTTTAACAGTATTATTTACTAGTAATTAAAAGTTGACCCTTAAAGTAACATTTGTATGTATGTCTAGGGTTTAAAGTATAATTAAGTATATATAAATTAAGAGGTTTAATTTTCTTTATCACATAATAATGTTAACATGTTAGTACATATAACTATCACATTAAAGCATAATTGAATATTTCTCTCGTTACTTGATTATAAATATCTGTGATAATTATAGTAAATGGAAACTTTATATGAAACATATTTATTGGTATATCTATCCTATTTTAACCATAGATATATATAATTTTACCTGTATATTTGAACAGACTTTCCGATAATAGCACACGCCATTTGAGACCAAATTGATAGTGTATATCACGAATTGAAGAGTTTGAATCGATAATATTACCATTTTGATCTTGCAAATCATTGTCCTTGTTACCATCGTAATCACCTAAAATTCCTCTGGTTTTACCCATGTACTTTTTATCGCACGTAATAATTAGGGAAAAGGCAACGACATTTGTAGATATAACAAAATAACAACCACTTGCAAACGATATGGATACCTTGCTCATATCGTTGGCAACTGTTACCCTCACGCCATCATATGTTGTATCATAAAGTTCTATGTGACTCAAATCAACTATAACATTGTCCACATATAAATCAAACATACGCATTCGTGATTTTTGTACCTGATAAATATTAAAATAAGTTAATATAGTGTTCTTAATAAAATATGGCACAGTGAATGTATTTGATTATATTATCTAGAAATATTGGTTAAAGATATACTGTATCTTTTAAGTTTATTATTGCATTATTGGTCAATTAGGTAGGAAAAGTTAGGCGTAAGAGATCAGAATAAGATTTCCGATAATAAGAAAATGAAATATCCAGTTATGCTGGACTAGTTTTAAAAATAAATAAATAATATACAGTAACTATATGTTAAGTATGTGTTTTCTATAATAATACATTTAACAAAATATGAACTAATACATTATAATTTAAAAATTATAATTATGGGTAAAGGGTCGCGGCAACAATTCTAACCTGTATTACAGAAGTATTGACGCCTTTCATAGCAAACGCTGTAAAGACTGTAGCATTTTTGGGCACACCATCGACATCAACAAATGGCTCCATACGCGATTGTAGCGACATAGGCATACCCGGGCCATTGTGGATCAACCAAAATTCACCCGCACCATTAAACGTGTAATAGAGTCCATCAAACGTCACAATATGTGGGTCACCAAATATGTTCGATGGGGGTGGGGGAGGTTGCTTGCACTTAGCTGTCGGCCTTTTCTCGCGATACTTTTCGCACAATTGATTGCTTTTATTTTTACAACATAGGATCCATGGCATCACATCGTTGTTGTAGTGGTCATTGGTTTTTGTATAATGACTCATTTCGGCGCTACCGCCACTGCGCAGACTTGTAGTCAAGTTACCGTTTTTGTAGCAACACTGTTGCCCACCTCCGCTGGAACTCGGCTGGCTGGACCTCGCGCAACTGTCGACCTTTTCTTTTATTACGCAATCATCTGCATTGCAAAGTTTTTCACTTACGAACCCTTGATCAGCCTCGAGCATCGTGATGTTGCACGGGCAGCCTATTTTGTCTTTGGGAGGACCATTATCATTATTGTACCAGTTTATGCACGCTTTGCCATTATCGTTGAAAAAAGACCCGAGGATTACCTTATCCGACAAAATTTTGCTTCGAAAGTTATTTCGTACCTCTCGTTTCAAGTGATTTATTTTGCCGCGTGTTTGTTCCACCGATATTATTGTTGCCGAATTTATAGTATATTCGGGAAAATCTTGCTCGATGAAATTACCAGCGTTGAAACTTCCACTATTTATTATGTTCACCGCGAATGTCTTCACAGGTACCCATTTTCCAGTAGCGGGGTCTTGAGCATATAGATATACGCCTAACATTGTATTTTCATCAAAATAAGCTGAATTCCAATTGCATTTTATATTGATTTCAATGTTTGATATGCTTTTAATTTCTAAATCGACGCGTTCATGGCTACCGCTCACTCCATTCGGCTCCGTAATGTATACGTAACCATGATACATTTCACTTGCCTCATCGTTTCTAACTATCAGGTCGATTTTAATACGCCCACAAGCATATAAAAAAGGAGCCTCGCACATTACCCCGGGATCGGTGGGTTGCTCATTTGCAATACCCGGCATTTCAATTATACCATTAACTTTATCATGAAATCTGCATATAAATTCTGTGCTACCATTAACACATGGCCCTGATAATCGTAATGGTACGTGACCGTAAAGGTCAATAAAATATGGTTCAACGCGTAATACGCTATTAAAATTATCACTGCACCCTGCTGACCTCATATTTTCGTTATCGACACGAAAGACCCATTTACCAGGTTCATTCATGTTTGAGCGATTGTTGACGGTTATAATATCATCAGTACACGACCCGGGTATATTATAAAATGAAATGCCATCACCGGAATCAAAACCCCCTTTGGCGGGCATACCGTGAACTGTAATCCACTCGATGTCATTGTAGTTGAAAATGGTGAAAGAATGAACGTCATCACTAACCAACACACTTTGAAAAGTATTTCGCGACCGAGTTTCGGAACTACTTGAACCATAATGACTAACATTTAGCCAGGTTGTAATGAAAACCCACGTTATTTCTACGTCACTAAACTCGGTGAATGCCGTTGCAATATCGTGGGACGCTTTTTTGAGCAAACTCATCTCAACAGTTTCCCGATAAAATATACGGCCACCGTTACGTAAATCGATATCAGCCCAAAATGGTGTTATCATACTGAAATCACTGCAAATGCTTTGGCAGGTTGGCGTAAACGTCCATATGGCTTGCTTAAATGAAATAACCCCGTTGATATTTACCCATAATCTTTCGTGTGTGGTATTAAAATACCGATAGCCTTGAGTAAGTAAAATCTGATCTGAACTTCCATCGTCCAAATTGCTTGGTAATAAGCGTATATCACCGTGCTCACTTCCGTATGGATAAAAATCTTCCAAATCTAATTGCCCATGAATCGTGGGGAAATATATTACAACAAGAAAAATACATGATATTTTATATTGTTTATTCATTGCATATAACGTTTGATATTATTAGTATGCCACTAGCATATAAAATATATCAATAGCGTATTAATGTTTTTCTAAATTTTATTAAATTAACTATATTTGCACAAAATACGAGATTATATATGTTATATTTATAAAAATATGTTATATACCCAACCAATCAATAATCATTTCATCATAATTATAATAAATTATGGGATTAGTGTGCTATATAATAAAATGTACAGTTTATGATATAATAAAATAATATCCGGCAAATAAATTATTTTTGTTAATTTATAATAATAGTTAATTCAACAATATAAACATTTATAACATGTTTATCTTAAAATTAAACATTTGTTTGTACTAACATTTGTGTGAAATATAACACTAAAAATGCTAAATAATTATCTATAAGTAAAAGTAATTTATGGTGTAAATTAATAACGTAGTTAAGGTATCCGTATTATTTCATGTTTCTAATACATTGACAAACAATACGTAAAACATTTATTTCATAATTCCTTAATTTATAAACATGTATTAACATACGGATGCGGATTTAACATTTACTATTACTATGACCAACCGTCCAGGTTTGACCTGGACTGTCCAGGAATTAGGGTAGCTGTCCTGTGTCCAGGGCAAGGTCTTACCTGGATAATGTAATGTCCAGGAATGGTAAAAAAGAAATATTAACATACAGTTTCTCCTATTTTTAGGCAAATCGAATAAATTAATGATAAGGCCTTAACTTAATTTTGAGTTAATATTTATATCTTGTTTTATTTTAATTATTAATGATTAATTTAGTATTTTTATATACCAGTATAAATATATGATTAAATAATCCGACATATTATTTTAGATATACTTTATCAGATATAGAAATTATTAGAAAATTATTTAACATTATTAATATTATCATTTATTCCACAAGAATTATTATTAGTCTAATAATTATATGGTATTATTTTGTTTATGAATTTTTTTTGATATATTTTATGCCGTGATTACAAACATTTGCTGTACAATATTATTGTATATCATTTCTAAGTTTAAAATTTAATTCACATTTAATACTCTTTAAGTTTAAATAATTATTTAATATATAGCAAAAATGCGTCATTCTGTATTTAATTATCTGTATCTATATTTATATGCTGACGTACTAAAATAATTTTATTTATATCATGTATGTTTATTTCTAGACAAAATTGAAATTTTAAATACCAAATATGGCTTTAAAACTTATTTCCAGGATTGTCAAGGAATTATAGGGAATATTTATATTACAATCAAGGATTATAACATTTTTAGTTGGTCACACTATTTACCATACATGTATATTGCGTATATAAGAAATACTAAACATTATTAAAGTAAACATCGACTGCAATTTTATGATAATAAAATATAAATACACCAATTATTCCACTCTAGAGGATTTAATTATAAATATATTAACAATCAATCCTATAAGTACTTTATATATAAATAATAAAAGCCATTAATAAATTTATTTAAGATAAGATAATTTTATTCAATTTATTGTATAAATATACTAATATTTTTATGATCCTATTTTCCAATATGATGGACTAATACTAGAATATAAAATTATATTATATTTAATTTATGTATATAAAAGATTATATAGATTTAATATTAGATTTTATTGGCATGAAATTGATAATACTAGGTATAATTTTATAACAATATTTGCAATTAATTAAATAAGTATATTACATTTATTGCATTTGAAAATTATATAAGTTTACAACAAATAACAGGTCTATTATTGATAGTCAAAATGATATTATACAAAGTAACTTAAAATATTTATTTATAACTATTTCACATTTAAAATGTTAAAAATATTAATGTTACTTATTATAAAATCAATCATTATTATAACATATTATTTAGTTTGCCTTGATGCTATTAATATTACCACTAATAGTAAAACACTGAATTCTGAGTCAACCCAAATTTGTAAGTTTGTTGTAAATGAATGGATACGATGTAAGACTGATGTGGAAAAGGATATCAAAGATGAGTTGAATAAAGTATTTGATCCCAACTCGCAATACGCTTCATATGAAACTATTGAATGGTCGGGTCCTGTAAGTGATGGAAAGATCACTGATTATGCAATACCCTCTACCTGGACCGTCAATAGATTGAACCTAGATGTGACTAATCTAAAGATTTTGGATAATTATGCCCTCAATGGGCCTATTATCACTGAATTAAATTTATTAGGTGGTCTCACAACACAATTAACACTTCCTAATATTGTCGCGGTATTGGAATATAGTGGAACAGGTTATATTGTATTTCATTTTTTATTATTAACTATTCTTTCGAACAATATAATTAGGGACGGAATCGAGTGACAAAGGGACACTGATTTTAGCTGACTTGGGTTATTAATGACTTGGGATGCATAGCCCAATGCACTAATCCATGTACCGGTGTACTGATAGTGTCTAGTTTTATTGTGGTGATGCTAATCCCTGTTAAGTTATGAGAAAAGATTCATTTACTCGACTGAACTAAACCCAAGTCTGAACTAAAAACTGTGTATTTTTGGCCTTTTTTGTCACGCAATCCTGTCCCTAAATATAACAATTGTAATGATATAAAGTCGGTCCGAAAAAAATTCAACAAATACTAGTATTAAAATTTTAGTTTTAAAAGTCAACTTTAGTTTTAACAAATTAGGCTATAATTTATTAATATTTTCTCTTTACTCTAATTTGAATAGATTTGCATCATTTAACCATTAATCTAGATAATACGATTCACCACAATGTTATAAAAACGATCAGCAACCAATTAAAATCTTTGAGATTTGTTGGAAAATACACAATATCGCTGAGCTGGGATACATCATATTATAGTATAAATAAAAATTTGGAATTAATTGAGTTCCAAGTATTGAGCATTGTGAATATTGGGAAAATGGCATTTGACCAAAATGACTGCCTAGAGGTTCATGCTTGTTCAAAATTAACTATTAATTTAGAAAACACTCAATTAAATGAACAAAATTTAGATGATGATGCTTTCATGATATCCAACGATAATAAAAGACAATATCACGTCAATTTGGGTATAGAATTGTATATATTTATAAATATAATATAATTTAAATAATTTAATTTAATATACTTTAGCTAATAACCACTTTAATTTCATACGGGAAAAGCATTTTGGAAAGATTTTGAATATGAACAGTAAAAGTACATTGGATATGACTGGCAACCCAATAGATTGCAGTGAGGCCAATAAAGATCATTTTAAATGGTTGTTGTCAAGAGAAAATTTCTATAAAAATCGTGTGCTGGCTAATTGTGATAAAAGTATGATGTCAATCTGGGATTACTATATACCACCCACTCCAACTCCAACTCCGGCTACCACACCAACTACGACTAAAACAACCACTACAACTACCAGTCCAACTCCTACTCCTGATTCAGGTTTAATAAATTATAATTGAAATAATTCTAATTTTTGAATCTAAATTATTTTTATTAATTTTATGTCGAAATACAGGAGAAATAGTAATCGATAGCATCGAAGACATTGAGAAAAATGTGATCCAATTGACGAATAAAACCAATAGTTTTAATGAATTGCAAACCACTGAAGACTTGATAGATGTGATCGAAATGATTGATAAAATGAGTGAATATTTGCAAACAAATGGCTCAACACTTAACGAAACAATGGCCATGAACATATCACAACATTTTATTACCCTTATCAGTCAAACAATTGAACAAAACGTATGGATGAAAGTGAATATTAGTGAGCAAATAGAGTTGGCGTCAAAACTGTTATATAATATACAGATCATTGCTTTCGCCGCGAATTGCTTTTTAAACCCACAAAATAATACAATTATTATTGAGAGCAAGAATTTAGTGGAAAAACATTATTATTTTTATTTGACAGAAGAAATTAATTTTAAATATAATTCTTCATCAATACTAATACCATATAGTCATCATTACGAAGGAAATGGTGGTGATATGTATTCGTGTGTAAGGTATACCTCTATGGGTACATATATTTATAAATTGGGACAATATTTAACTCATGGAATGATTGACACACAAATTAATAGCCCTATCATTGGGTTTAATATTAGAAATACTAATAAAAGTCACGAATTCACTGATGGATCTAATGTTAGAATTAGGTATTTATCAAAATATTATTTGAGAAAGGCACATCTATTCCATAGACATTGCTTTAATATGCAGATTATTGATGGTATTGATATCCATCATAAATTATTTAATCTGGATATTAAAGCAATTTCTACAGAATAGATGTTATTTGGCAATTATGAATTAATTACTATTAATTAAATAATTACTATTATATTAACTATAATTACTAATTAATAACTAAATAAGTTTTTAAAAACTTTTAATAGTTTAAAACACAAGAATCGGTTGGTTTTAGGCGATAGGGTTTTGTGTGTTTTCTGGGACTTTGATCGCAAGAAGTGGTCATCAGATGGATGTCGTCTAATAGAGAGTGAATCCAATCGCGAGACAACTGTCTGTGAATGCAATCATTTGACTAATTTTGCGGTTCTTATGGACACTTCCGGTCGAGAAAATAAAGATGAATTAGGAAAAACTATTTCAACATATATTTGTTGCAGTCTTTCAATCATATGTCTCTCAATATATTTGTTACTTTTGAAGCGAAAAAAGTTGTTTAATATTAGAATTAAAAATTCCGGCGGAAGTGACCATTCGTTAGGATTTCGAGCAAAACAAGACTTTTTTGTCAAGAATTTATGTATTTGTCTATTGATTACCAATCTGTTTATTATTACGGGAATGGATAGAAGGAAAGGAAACGGGAGCGGGGTAATTATTTTTATATTGCTTATCAAACAATGGGATTTTTTAAAAAATAATTTAAAATTCACATTCTTAATAGGAAGTTTGTATAATAATGTCAATACTATTATTGTATACAATTTTATCGGCATTTGTTTGGATGTTTTTGAATGGACTCCAATTTTACCAGTTGGCCACCAATGCATACATTAATAAAAAAGATAAGAAACTTCATTACCATGTCGGTTATGGACTACCGGCCCTTATTATTGCAATATTTATCGGACACATTACACTTCGGGAAGATGGTTTCGGAATGTTGGAGAAACACCTAACTGGCCATTATTTGTATGAAATTGTTTTGTAATTTGAGAAAATATATTAGACTTATATAGCAATTTTATAATACAGTTGTTGGATATCGTCCCAGGCACATCCCGAAAATATTTATGTTTTGATCGGTATATGAATACAATATTAGTTTAAACCAGTGTTAGATAACAGTTATTATTTGTAACTGGTAAATTTTTGACTTGTAAATTGAGTGTACTTATTGTATACTATAGTATACTAATTGTGACTATATTTGGAAAATTATACACAAAAAAGTAACCTAAATTTACAGGTTTACCAGTCACCTGTTGTAAAAGGTTGTCTAACATTGATCTATATTCGTAATTCAATAATATTTAATCTAATAAATTGTATTTAGTTCCCGCAATGTTATCGATAACATTAAATGTAGCATTTATTGCATATTTCCAATACAAATCCACCCATGTCAAGTCAAATACAAATCAAGTGAATGTCAGTTTTGGACCCAAACCCATCCTATCATTTGTATGGATTTTGTTCAATAGTGGCATTTCGTGGACGCTATTTGTTTCTTATATCCATCAGTTGACTACAAATCCTCCCATACTATCCTATTTATTTATATTCTTCAATGGTTTACAGGTATATGATTTGTTTTTTATTAAATATTTTGTTTTAATTAATGTATAAATTATGTCATTAAAGGGAGTATTTATAGTAATATATCAGTTGAAGACACGCGTGGAGTGGATCGATAGACGAGTTAAATAAAAGTTTGCTGGGTCAATCAAGATACAGTGGCACTAAAATATTTAATATAAGTATTGAGGCTAAGTATTACTAAAATTACATTTATGAATCACAACACGCAAGAGCCATTTAAGTTAAATATAATATAAATTTGTATATTCAATTTTTATTATATAAGTAAATTATATTTATAACTTAAAATGATATTAGTATGAATTAAATAAGTATATAAATTTATACTATATATAATAACAATTAACATTTATACTATATGTTTGACTAAAATAATTGTTTTTATTCATAAATGAATAGTTTAAGAGTTTTTTGTTTAGATTACAGTCTACATTAAGTAGAATTTTATAGCTATAGCACATTTACGTTCAAATATCTATAAATTATATTTTAATTTTATAAATAATTATATTTAATAAATACCAACTTTTGTACTATATTGTATTAATACATTAAGTGTATTATATGTATTACACATAATATTATATTTTTATGAAATTGTAATTCAAATTATAATTGAAACTTATTCTAAAATGTATTATTTAAACCCTTTAATTAATTATACTTTATACTTTTTTATCTATTAAAAAATCAAACAATTCTATAAAATTAATTCAAATCTAAATCAAAAGCTAAAATACTAATATTTAAAGGTTTGTAGACATTTTATAAATATAACTGGTGAAATAAATAGCTTCAATACAAATAATATATATAATAATATTCAATATAAGGAAAGGGATGATGAGATGCTTACCTATATTAAGACACACCTTTGGCATTGATAATCGGGGAAAGCATTTAAGGGATTTGTTATTAAGAATGTCAAGGCTCTTAAAAAATACCAGGGTACACTTGTGAATTATTATTGATAGTTGCAAATTTATTAATAACATTATTAATAAAATTTCATTTTTTGTTAAATGAAAATGTTAAGATTTTTACTAATTTAAAATGCGCAACCAACATAATTTCCCATATGAATCGCATTATGATCAATTTATTGATTTAGTTTAATGACCAAGAATAAAATGTAAACAATAAAATCTTTACTAAAAACATATATTTAATTCAATGTTATACAACATTTTAGACAAAGTAAATAACAAGGTATTTTTTAATTATTTGATCAAGTATCAATTCAGTTGCTTATGGTAAAGTAGAGCATTTTTACAAAAACTTTTACTATAATTCTATATTTAGCGGATATGATAAATATTTTTTAAAATTTGAAATAATAAACATAATATAAATTTCAATTTTATAGCAACTAGCAATTAATATTCATGTACATTATTTGTCTATCGATACTGGCGCCCATGATAGAATTGGTTCATAGAAAGTGCCACCATTGTCCGAGGGTCTTTTTTCACGGTACCTTGCGCACAGTCCATCACTTTTGTCCTTGCAACATAGAATCCATGGTAGGACATCATTTTTGTAATGGGCCAGGATATTTGTATAATGACTTTTATCAACGGTGCCGCCACCTCGCATACTTAAGTTCAGTTTACCGTTTTTGTAACAACACTGTTGCCCACCGCCGCTGGGACTCGGTATAATGGATCTGGCACAAAAGTCGACGCCCTCGTGATATTCGCACGATTCAATTTGTTTGCAACCAGGTTCAATTTTGAATCTCAAATCCACAGTTAACAGCTTGACATTAGGCGGACAA